GGAGGAGCTTCACGCTCTAGCCAGTGAGCCAATGGAGAGCCATGTCTTCTTTGCAGAGCATTTCCACGACGCTGTCAATGGCCTGTACACCACACTGGCCACCTTCTCTGTCTGCAACTCCACACAAGCAGGTGGGACTCCTCCTCGACACTAATCATCCACTTGTATAGACATCATGAGGTTGGTGTCACTGGACATAAATGATTTGGAAGTAGTTAAATGTCCACTAGAGAAATCGTAATATAACTTTTATGTGTGGAAAGAAGGAAATGAGTCTTAAAATGATCTAAATTGTCTCTCTCACCTCCTCCCTGTCACTATTCTCCATTCCCGTCCACTCCCAACATCCCTCTGTCTACCCTCTCGATCTAATACCAATCCCAAACTTCCTGCTCTGCTCTCCAGGCTGTCAGATGGAGTCGTTTCCCTGTGAGAGGAAGACACTGGAGACAGTGAAAGCGCTGCAGGGGAATTTCATGTGTTGGAAAGGCTCTAAGGGATATTCCACTTATACATCTCTCTGTCCCTACTACAGGTAAGTTTTGTGCACTTTTACAAAAGAAAAAACATTCACCAATTCACTGGAACCAGTGACACCACTTTAATAGCTACAGCTTCACATCAAAATCTAAATTACAGACAGTTTCTCCATAGTTGTACCGTACGTCCCTGTAAATCAGCACCAGATACTTGGTGACCAGAAATTAAAATGTAGTTGGTTCGGTTTTTGGTTTCGTTCTACTTGGTTTGGTTTCTCTACTGAGCAGCATATACCCCAGGACAGAGTATCTGGCAGGTATTGAAGAGGCCACAGAAACTGGATTATGATAAAGAAGAAGACTGTACAAAAATCTGTGCACTGGAGCTGAACATGTAACGCTGTTCTCTCACTGCTCGGTGAGCAACAAGACAAGTGGTGGAACGGGGCGATAACCACGTGTTAATGTGTTGTGTCAGTGTGAGGGTCGAGCAAATGTAAATCTGTCAGATCCTCCCATGGAAAATCAGAATGGCCTTTGACAAACTTAATTTCACAGAACATTACAGCTTTACCACGGTGAAATGGCCTGAGGCGGGCAGAGCTCAGTGAGAACCATTAGAGAACCATCACAGCTTTTCATTTGATCTTACAAATGCCCCCTGTTTCTCCTGAATATACTCATAAGAGCTGACAGTAAAATGAGTGTTTTTTTTATATTCGTATATAATCATGTAAATAAAGATTCATATAAATGGCAGTTAACTAATTATAATCAAAGTGAAATACTTTTTCATAGTCTGTTACCTGATAAGGCTCAAAGATTATTTTTCCATTACAGAACTGGCAAAAGAGAACCAATTTGAAAATGGAAATTTATTTTTTTAGAGAGGGAAAAAAGAAAACAAAGAAAATTATCCTTTTCAAAAATATACATCTTTCATTTATTTCAGACTTACAGAATGTTTGAATCTTTGTTTGGGCCAAATCTGTGTGTTGCAGGTACAACAAGGCTTACAAGAGACACCAGACAGTCTGCCATCGGACTATCTGTCCAGGTGACAGCCTCCCTTTGATTCCAGCTGCCCTCTTACTCTTCTGTAGACGGTGTGTGTTTGTGGAGATATGTCTGTGCAGCTCATTTCCTGCCGCTCTCTCTGTAGATCCCTGTGACTCTCAGCCGTGTCTGAACGGTGGAACATGTGTATCAGAAGGTCCAGAGGGCTACCACTGCGTGTGTCCGCCTGGCTACGGAGGAGACCCACACTGTGGTTTGTTGGCTGTTCTGTACGCTTCCTGAGATGTTCGCAACACTTCAATGCAGAGATGAAACGAACTAAACCCTCCCTCCCCTCCCTCCCTCCCTCCTCAGCTCCTGCGTTATCACTGGACTGCTCTGTGGACCTGCTCTTCCTGCTGGAGGGCTCTGCCACTCTCACCCTGGAGGGCTTCCTCCGCCTCAAGTCCTTCTTAAAGCGCTTCCTGCAGACAGTGATCGGGTCTGACAGCCCCGGTAAAGTCGGCCTGGCGGTGTTTGGCGGAGAGGCTCGAGTAGAAGCCCAGGTGGGCAAGTTTAAAGGGGACCTGAGGGGTCTGCTTAAGGCAGTGGACGCGCTTCAACCAATCGGCGGCGAGACCAAGACAGGCCAGGCGCTCCGTTACGTCACACGCCACGGCTTCGTGAGTGCGCCGGTCTTTGCCGATGTCGCAGACGACCTTCCTCGCGTGGTGGTGCTGCTCACTGCCACTCCCTCTGTCGACAACGTGGTAGAGCCTTCAAAATATGCACGGGACAGAGAGATCTTCCTCATAGGGGTGGGACCAGACTATTTAAAGGAACAGTTGAATAATATCACAGGGAATCCGCAGAGGACTCTCACCTACACATCACCTGACAGGTTCACTGCCAAGATCCCTGAGCTCAAGGCCAAGATCTGCAGTGTGGACACACAAGGTACCTGATGGGCAACAGAGCACTGTTACACACATTCATTTCATACAATATTCTGGTACATCCTCACCATTTGTAAAGTAATACTTACTGTATACGTAATACCTTTTTATAAAACATCCAAATTGCAATCAGGATCCATCATTCCAAATGTAGTGGTGTTATTTTATAGTCATTCATTGAGAGAGGGAGAAAAGCATTTATATCCAACAAAGGCACAAAATATAATGTAAAAAATATTTTAAAAAATGTACATACTTACTTACATAGTTTTATTAAGATGTGAAAGATAAAGTTTAATCTTTAAATTCTCCTATTTGTGGCTGATATGTATATTAACAAACCCCTACTTCTAATTCATACATTTTGTATGGTTCAGTTTGTACTAATAAATAATAATTCTTTGCCCTTTTTGTTTTCCAGGTTGCCTGGGCCAAGCAGTGGACCTGGTGTTTGCTCTGGATGCCTCAGGCGGTGTCGGCCGCGATAACTTTGTCACGCTGCGCGACTTTGTGCGCAGCCTCACCGTGCAGTTCGACGTCAACCGTGACTTGGCCCAAATGTCACTTGTCGCTTACGGACGGAGACCCAACACCGTCTTCAACCTGGACACCCACGAGACAGGCTCTGCCATCCTCAAGGCAGTGGGCGACGCCAACTACATGGGTGGAGTGGCTTCCACCGGCACCGCTTTACTCCACATCCACTCCAACGTCCTGACTGTGGCCAAAGGTGCGCGGCCCGGAGTCAACAAGGCTGTGGTAGTGGTGACTGACGGGTCGGGCGGGGACGATGCTGCCGTGCCAGCGCAAAAGATGAGAGACAATGGAGTTTCACTGTTTGTTATCGGTATCGGAGACGTACAGAGACAGAGGCTGCTGCAGATCGCTGGCTCAGAGGAGCACATGATCTCGGTGCCGTCGTATGAGGATCTCAAGTACTTTGAGGACGTTCTGGTGCAGATGTTGTGTTCAGGTGAGCGTTCAGGGAAATACCTCTGTTATCAAACCTTTGCTGCTCTATGGATAGGAGTAAGGGGTAGATAAGCAAACGTGTAATCTGCAATGTATTGTTTGTTTTTCTGATTTCCTTTCACTAAGACTTCTTGCTAAAAACAGAAAACAGATGCTGAGGGGCCTGTAAAATATGAATTTGTGTAGTTTACATAATGGTAATTTGCTGTTTTATGATTATATTCTTTCAATCAGAGGTAAAGAAGCCGGTGAACCTGTGCAGTCCGAACCCGTGTATGAATGATGGGACCTGCGTCCTGGCAGGAGGGAGCTTCCGCTGTCAGTGCCAAGGCTTCGAGGGACCACACTGTGAAACAAGTCAGTGGCATTAATGAAAAGTCTTCTTTCCTTAATTTTCCCTTTTTTAATGCAAAGGTAACCATGGCATACTTCAGCCTGGAGAAATGGTATGGTGGCCAAAAAACACTGCATTGTTTGCATAATTATGCAGAAGTGATAACTTTCTGTGCGGTTGTATCCGTTAGGAAGCAGCAGGCCTTCATCCAGAGGAGATCTTCCGAGGCCCGCTGGCCTGAGGAAGAAGAGCAGGCAGAAGAAGAGCCACCAGGAGCTCCTGCATCACTACAAACTACACCGCCGGAGACATGCCGCCTGATACACCATACACACATAAACACATATACTGCACACAGAAACAAATCACCTATGGACTCTAAGGATGTTTGCGAGTACACACTGGAGTAAAGGGAAAACTAATGTTACTGTTAACCTTGTTACTATTTCAATATTTGAACTTGCACATGAACTTCAACAAGTGCCTTCAACACTGTATGTATCTCTACTGTGGTGTCCATTAGTTTGTTTTTGTTGAATTTTGTGCTCACTGTTGTGCAATTGTCTCAACATGCTTCTCTTGTCTTTTCGAAGATGTAAACTTTTATATTATAGTGTATATGTGTCATGATTTTATTTTTTATTTTTTCGGTGTTTAATCACAACACAAAAACATCAGTGTGATATTTTCATGTTTTAATTTTTAATTTTTGTTTAAAATTTGCTTAACTGACAGAGGTTTATAGATATTAAAAAAAAAGATTGTTAGTTCGCTCTAATGAACCAAATTCTATGCATGTTTTAGTTATATTAGTGATATATTACACTGCTTTAAATTCCCCTTTACTAAAATACTTCTTGGGGAAAAGAGAAAAAACTTCTAATAGGAAAAAATTTCATAATATGTGATTTGCAGTCCAGCTTTAGTAAAAAGTCTCTTTAAACAGTAGAATTATTCTACTGTTGCAACAGCTAACGAGCTCTAAAATGTATCATTTGAAACGACCACTCATTTAAATTACTAACCAAAAGAAGATGTAAACACATCGTCGTGTCAAATGAGTCCCACTCATAAATGTTTTAAATTCATTAGTGAGGAGTGAAAGCGTTTACTCTAATTACCCTTTAAATGTTTAATGCTGCAGTTTCCCTGTGTCAACTGCAAATGTAACCTTGAGTTTGTTTTCAACAGACGAGCTGGACACACAGATGCAAGGTCAAACATGAAAAGGAGACATTTTAATGAGCAGTTCTCAAGCCGGTATTGTTGTCAGTACATTTTTATTTGAATAAAAAGTGCATTTCTAGCTAGCAATACAAGCCAAAAGGCTGAATAATGGTGTAAATATATTTACATCTTGGCTACCAGCATATATGAACCAAGCTACAAAAAGTGTACAAAGTGGCCAATTTAGTAGAGGGGCGTCTTTCTGTCTCAGATTTCAGTGGTTTCAAATATTTGGCTGTTTGCAGTGTTGAAACATCCCATTTTATCATTATCAAGAACAATTGTTAGACTGGCCCAAATGCTACTACATCAAATTCCTCCCTCTAGGAAATAGGGAAACAAACAACTTGAGTCATTAAAACCAAGATTATCCAGTGGTATTTAAGAGGACAGCTTGTGCCTCCCTCTGATTGGCTCTTTATAGTCTTGGCAAGAAAGTGATGAGGATGAAGGATCCAGAGAAGGGAGGATGTTGATTTAACTGTCTGGTCTGTTAACTTGGCTTGAGTAGGAAGAGTCGTGGACGGCCGACCGAACCCAGTGAAACTTGATCATGAGATTTCCTCCTAGGTGGTGGATTTCTTCTCCCACTCCTGTAAATACAAAAAATGGTAATCCCTAATACATGTTTTAATCATTTCTCCAAATGGTGTCCACGCCCTCAGTGTGATCTCACCTTAGCTTTCTGCAGGACTTTGCCTTTCGTGGCCATGATGGAGACGGGTCTGCTCTTTAGTGCAGAGGCAGAGTTGACTGGAGAGGCTGTGTCTGCGCTGATGTTGCTGTTGGAGGGTTGGGATGATGATGATGATGATGAGGAGGAGGATGATGATGATGTCTGGGGAGCAGGCAGGGTTGCTGCTTTAGGCTGCGGGTAAAATGATAGAGATGGTTCAGGGCCCTTTTTAAATCAAATTCATAGCATTTAAAACATTTAAACGAAACGCTTGGGCTCTGAAGTTCTGCACTTATACCAACAGGACCAGTACACTAACCATGGGTGTGTCCTGGAGGCTGCTGTCCAGTGTGGTTCCCAGTGTGAAAGGCCCCGACTCCACCTTCTTCAGACTTTCCTTCACTTCTACCAACCGAAGTTCCACCTCAACCCTGCGGTGCTCCGCCTCCCGGCACGCCTCCTCCTTCTGCTTCAAACGGGCTTCTATTGAGGCCTGCTGCTTGGGATCTGAGGAGAACAGATAGACAGCCGTCAGTCAGTCAGTCATACAGATCAGAGTCTACGTCTTTGTTATCACGAGTGCTACAGGAAGCGCATATTCACCTTGGCAGGCACTGAGCTCCTCTTTGGTCTCCCTTCTCTCCTTCTTCAGGTTTGCCAGACTGCTCCTCACCTCCTCCCTTTCTTTCTCCAGGCGGTCGCGCTCATCCGTGTAGCGCCGCATGTCTGCCTCTGTGCGGTTTTTACCCAGTTTCCCTTCAACCGCACCAGGACACACTGGGAATTGAATGTTGACATTTCTTTAAAATTCTTGCACAGGCAAATAAAAAAAGAAAAAATGAAATAAAGTTGTCTTTACATTTACCTGAGGGTGCAAAGAAAAAACAAAAAAAGGGTGCAATGATTATGAAAAGCAAATATTTCTTTTTAAAATATAAAACTATAATGTGAAGCTGTGCCTTTGACTGCAGAGGATGCAGCTTTTCACTAGAGGGAGCCATGGTGATTTAAGATTACAGAGAGAGGGAAGCGGTTACTCAATGCAGAGGGAAACAGCAGCAGCACCATTTTCTGCTTCATGTTGAAAAGGGTGTGTTTGTGTGTTGGGAGTAATACTGATGAGTGACTAGGTGACATGCTCCCGACATTGCAGGTGTAAGTGTTATTCCCTGTTCTACTCCTCCCTTGTATCCGGCAAGCCCAGTGTCCTCGTGCTTTACTCTCACCTACGGTGTGTGCCTTGGGCCGCAGGGGTTGAGGACTGTGGGGGAACCCGGCAGCAGTGTGAACCGCTGGGCCTTTATGGGCCTGTCCCCCAGAGGAGTTGAAGGCCTGTGGGATCCCCAGGTTCATCCTCTTAGGCGTCTCCTGGCTTTGGGACGTGGTTTTGAGTTGGTTGGGTTGCGACTGCTGTGGCTGTGGCGTGGTAGTCGGGGGGCACGCTTGTTCTGGTTTGCACGTAGCAGGAGTCGGACTTGTTCCATTTAACACAGGTATCGGCTCCGGCTCAGAGGCGTTAGTTGGACTGACCTGAAATCAGTAGACAAAATGTAAAATATGAAGGAAGTGCGAGCAAATAGAATTAGTAAGAACAATGGTTCGCTTGCTGAGTCGCCTTGTAGTGTTTTCCACATAAAGATGAGGAAATAAGTTTAGTACAAAGTTACATCTGTTTCCTTAAATTGAATAAGTTTAGGAATGAGACAGTACTGTAAATCCCTATTACGCGCCTCTTTAACTTGACATGAGGAGTCCTTTTGCTCCTCTAGTGGGACCGGGGAATATCTAGAAGTCTCTTTGGCGGGTGGGGTTTTAGCACCACAGGATGTATGGAGAAAGGAGCGCACAGGAACAAGATCCAGGTAAACCCTGTTGTCAGGGTCCTGCTCGGTTCCCTCTGAGTTCTTGGCATCCTGTGTGGATGGTTCATTATGTTCCTGAAGGTTGTTGTCCTCACTGTCTGGCAGGCCGCTCTCTTCAGCATCCTGTATGACACGGTGACAGGAAATTAGGAGATGGCAAGCGGCCAGATGAAGTGAGTCCATGTAAAAATGAAAGTGAAACTTGGAAACTGATTTAAAAAACAACAACAACAGTGTTTTCTTGGAAAAAAACGCTACACCAGATGATGCACCAGAGTCCAATTCATCTATTTAAAGTTTACAGTAATCTTTGACTAAAATGAAAACTGGAACTGTCTAAACATGTTTTTCATTCTTTCCTATCAAACATTCTTTTTCTTAACCAGTTGTTCAAAACACATGCTACTTTTTAAATGAGGATATTTGAGGAAATGTAATGGTAACTATTTTGATTATCAATTAATCAACTGTGTATTTTTTTTTAAATTAAAAATTCCCTGGTATGAGCTTCCTTACTGGGAATATTTTATAGTTTTCTGTGAGAGTGAACTGAATAGCTTTGGGTTTTGAACTGTTGGTCAGACAAACAGAAAATAATGGGTAGTTAGTAATTAGTCAATAATGAAAATAAATGATTGCAACCTTATTGGGTGTTTTATCATATATTACTGAAATAATCCTCTCCATTTTGAACGTGTCTTTATATTATCTCCACAAAGTAAAATAGTAAGGCTCTTGTCTTCCAGAATGATTCCTGAGATACTTACAAATGCTGAAAATGAGTTAAATGATGCACAAAATGTTACTAATGATTTTCCAAAAATAACCAAATGTACAAAAATACTGTCTGTTGACATCAGAAGAAAGTCAAGCGTCTCATTTTTTTTTTTTTTTTAACTCTAGATAACTTGATGGTAGACGTACCTCTGGATCAGCTATAGACGCCACGTCATCATACAGCTCATCAGAGTTGTGGGAGATGGAGGGCGGGGTGTCTATGTAGGTGTTCGGCTCTGAATACCTCCTCTGCATCAAGCTGCAGAGACACACAGACGCACAGAGGTTTCGCTTGAATATCGTCCCAACACATACATGAAGAACACATTCCCACCTCAGAAGACTGAAAGTGAAGACGTTACTATAAGGAAGTCTTGGCAGCATTGACGATGCTGGAGATCCTCTCAGAGTTGACGTAGTCGTACGTCAGCTCCTCCGGGTCTGTCTTGGTCCCCATCTGTGACAGCAAGAGGCCCAGCCAGTGACCCATGTCTGCTGATGTCTTAGCCTGGGAGGGGTTTGCAGAGGAGAGGAAAGGAAAAGAAAGAGTATCGGTTTGTTTGCTGCAGCGTGATTCACCGTGGTTGATGGCTAGGAAGTATTTCTAGGGATGTGCTGTTTTGACACATGAAGAATATGTTTTGTCACTCGTGTGTCTGCCATCTCTCCGCGAGTCAGTTAAAGAAGGGGTTTTTGTGCAGCTGTTAACGTCGCACTATGTTGTGTTAACACGTAAATAATTACACACACAAAGAGTTTAATATGAGAAGCTGACAGCCTATTATAATTTTGGGCCATTCGAACAGCTCATCTGATGGAGCTGTACGGCGTCTTACAAACACATAATGGTTTGACACATATTAAAAAAACATTAGCTGATAGCTGTTGTTTTTTTTTTTGTTGTTTTTTTTTGTTTCTTTTAGTAAACACTGGACCAGGGAAGTTTCAATTTGTGAAATCAAGAATAAAAAATTCATAGAGAAGAAGAAAAACAAACCATAAATGTGTCAGAAACAGCCCTCGAGACTAAACATTAAATTCCACTGCCTATGACCAAATATGCGCCGCAGCAGGGTGGTACTGAAAACCTAATGAAAAAGGGCGTAGCTTTAGTTCCCAAAATCCCACAGTTTTGTAATACACCCCCACCCTTCACACACACATATGCACACAAACACACTTGTGCGGACACATATATTATATAGGTTAAGTTTGATGTCAGCAGAAAGAGGTTTCCCAATGAGGACACTGTCTGTTAGTGTCTGAGGGTTCCTGTAAGTAGCTGCACCTCCAGACAGGTTAAACCTCTGCTTATTTTTTCAGAACAACAGAGTGAGGCTCTCATCCGAAGCAAACATGAAATGAAGACAGGAAGCACACATCACGTACACCAGACATCACGGCCTATTTAAAATGATCTCGGTTAATCAGCCCATGTAGATTGTAACCCACAAGTATTGACACACCCTCACTTTTTATTTTTAGGTTTGAGGTTTAGTGTCACCTCTCACTTCAACAGTCTCGTGATCCTAGAGAGAGACAAGCTGCAAAGTACCAGAACAGACACCGGTCGTCTACCTCTAACGTTGCCACCTGTGTGCCATCCATGTCGATCCTAAAGGAGTACAGGTGCTCAGGGCTGGGGTCGGGCAGAACGCTGCAGCCCTCCAGGGTTACAGCCGGCTGGCTCACTTTTTTGCCCTTGTCCTGGTAAAACCATAGCTGACCGTTCTTGATAAGACACCAGCAGGTCCGCCACTGGCTGTTCACCAGCACGTTGAGGTAGCCTGACAAAGGAAGGGAGAAGGTGACTTCATCGTGTGGCTGCTGTTTCACTTCCTAGTGACTTATAATGTACATGAGTTCTTTAAAGAGTATTTACATGCCAACATCTCACAGCATTTTATCCAAAACCAAGTTCACTCGGCCTTTAGACATGACCAGCGGTTAACTGGGTTTGTTTAATGTCATAAACCCATTGATTCCTATTGGTTATTGTCTAAATCAGTGCTAACATATTGTTGTGGTACTAACTACACAGCACAGAGGACCCCAGAGTGTCTAATTATGACCATGTGTTTTAATCAGATGGCTGCGTAAGAGAAAATATTGTCATTTTTACTCTGGCATAAAAAAAACCCCACAGATATAGACCTTCTGCTGCTAGTACTCATACCATCTGCAGAACACAAAGAGGACTATGTTCCAGGATAGCACCTGCACCTGAGTGACATTCAGCACATGCTTTGGGACTTCATACATACATAGCCTGACATAAAACAACAGACCTCCGCTCACCTGAGGTGTCGACACTTTTCTCTGGGCTCTCTAATAAGGAAGGTTTTTTCTTGCCAATGTTCATGAGGTTGCTGAACTTCAAACCTGCCCCGTATTTTTTCTTCACTGTGGAGAAAGGGGGGAAGTGGAACGGTGCTTGACATGATTATTTGCATTATTTCTGCTTTCAAATACCAGAACCATGTCCCTAAACCAGTCTCTGTTGACACTAAATAAGGAAGAACTCACCATCTTTGTTTTCAGGGGTTTCAGCATGACTGTCAGTGCTGCTGCCGCTCTCTGAAGCCACTGAGTATCTCTCACTCAGCTCTCCCTGTGTGTCCACATCTACATTTTAGTCATTTATGACAACAATAGAGGGCAGGCAATCCAACTATAAAATACTTGGATTAAGTGTACCTTAGTGCAGATGAGCCTCGGGGAGTCGGACACAGAGTGCTGGAGGTCACAGCTTTCAGCTGGCTTGGGGCTGATCTCCTGAATCACCTAATGAACAGGAAGGGATTGCTGATGAATGCTGACACATTCACATTGTTAAACGCAGCAAACAGCCGGGTAATAACGCTGCTCCAGGTGGGTTTTTAAGAGCGAGGTGATTTTGGCGCAGCTTACCTTCAGCCACTGCTCCGTCTGCTCCTTGCTCTGCAGGCCCAGCACGATGGCCTCCCCTCCCACAGGAGTGATCTTCAGCTTGTGCTCTTTTCTCTTCAGCTGCTTCTCTTTGTAGACGACGCTGCAGCCCAACAGACTCACGTCCAGCAGGGGCGTCTGCTCCTTGGAGCTCTTGTAGCACTGAGGGGAGCAGAGATTACACTGACTCACAGTAAGCAGGCAACAGCTTAATTGTTTAACATGAACCGTATTGCCGCACAACATACTTGTGGTATCGTACAGCACTTTAGAATGAATTATGTTTGACACTTAACAAATACCAGCATAGAAACATGTGTCACACCTGAGTGCGCCACCCAGTGCGGCACCATCTACTGGGAGGCTTTTGATGATGGGGAAAGTTAATAAAGCCAATCCCAGTCAAACAGAAATAGGTTTAAAATAGTCATAATTTTCCTATTTTGATCCTTTTTCACCAGTGAAGTCCACTGTAATCTTTTAGTACAACATGAAGTACAACAAGAAGAAGAGCACCACAGGTGTAATTACGACCATTTAAGGAAAAGTTCACCATTTTGGGAAAATATGTTTGTTTGCTTTCTTTTTAGTTAGATGAGAAGATCGATACTACCCTCATGTCCGTGCACTGGAGCAGGAAGGTGATTAGCTGAAGTTTTTCCAAGAGATAGCAGGTAACTCCTCTCAAAACCACAACATGTAATTTTTTTTTTTAATATAGATAAATCGAGGGATTTGGCTTCATCATATCTGCTGACTGCTGACATTATTTTTTTCTCCATGCTGAGTGACATTGAAATGTTATAATTACAGGGAGAATATAAACAAACCCTAACCCTTCATGAAACCATCTGTGCTCATGACCATAATTTTATTTTAATTCTGATTTCCTCACAGTCTTATACCCACCAGCAGGCGATGGTCTTTGATGACACACAGCTGTTTGGCCCACTGGCCGAGCCACTTCTTCCTCCATAGGAAGGCGCAGATTCGAGCGTCCTTCATCAGCTCAATGGACGCCTCTGCTGATGGCCACTGGTGCTGCGCCGACGGCGACTTTCCTCTGGTCACTTCCTCCTCATCGTAGGACTCGTATGAGCTGCTAACTACCTCCCCATCATCTGAACACAAAAAGCAACGATGCCACGACTGAAGAAATGAGAACCAAAGGCCGGGGGGGGGGGTTGTGAGGGGAGCAAAATGATAACACATAAGAAGCAAAGGTTCATGATGATGGATGGCCGAGTTCACGTTGCAGCATGGGGTGAGTTTGAAGGGAGCAAATGAGGTTAACGCCTGATTTCTTGACCTTGATGACTGTCTTCAATGGAGGAGGATTTCCTCACAACACTCAATCAAATAAGCAAAATAACATTTTTAATATTGATGGGTAGTGGCGGGATAAAGATGCCAAGTTATGATGAAAGAGAAAATCATAACTTAAGAAAAACTGAGGTTAAGATGGAACTGATTAATGAAGCCTGTCACAGGTCTTGACTGAAAATTATTACTTGACATGCAGGACCCCGTTCAAGCTCGACAATGAGGGCCAGAGGACATGCCGGCTTTGCTCGTGCACAATACGCCTCACACAACGCACAAGACATGGCACAAACACACAAGTCTTGTGAGAGAGAGCTAGCTACCCCTGGTGATAACGGCATACACCACACTGTCAGAGCTCTGCACTCGCATCCAGGGCCTTGAGAGGAGGCCAAAACAGTCCAGATCTACACAACAGCAGGAGGATGAGGAGGAGGAGGAGGAGGAGGAGGAAGAAGAAGAAGAAGAAGAAGAAGATCGGGAGGAAAAAAAGGGTTGAAAAAATCTAATTAGAAACCTTTTTGTTTTTAGCATTTCAGCATCGACCGACAGAGGTAACATTCTCAACAGTCGGAAAGCAAAATAAAACTTTGCATTAGTTCACTGCTCCAGATTACATGAGGGAAAATCAGTCCGAGTTTAGGCCTCACTGACCTCTGTGAACATGTCATAAAATATCATAACTTACCGAATTGCTTATGCCAGAGACGGTCAGATGAGGTTGTGCGAAAAATAACATGCAACCTCTAGCTCAGAAGTGAAGATGGCTGTGGTGTAATGATATTAAATCAATGTACAGAAGTAATTCTTGAAATACTAGAAAAATGGTGTTTGGCGAACACTCTTTCACAGCCACACATGAGGAATTGCTCTCAAAAAAACCCCCCAAAAAACAACCTCTTTTACAACAAAACTGCTGATATCCTTTACAGTAGTGATGCAGCAGGAACAGTTCTTCAACTGGGCCTTGCAGTGTTCCTACGAATCAGGTAGGAGGAAGAAGAAATATGAGATTGAACCAGAGTTCTTACCATTGACAGTTTCCTCATAGGGCTGCGCCTCCTCGTAATAACTCTCTGAAGTGTCTACGCAGACCGTAGCTGGAAGTGCAGGTAAGGGGAACGGCTCCCGACCCACCACGCCCTGACAGATGAGAGAAGGATGGGGAAAAGGGGGAGGGAGGAATAAAAAAGGGAAAGGGGTGAAGGATTAGATTAATCCATAGTCTATTAATTGTCAGATAACAATACAGCCTCCGTATATGTAAGTATTTTCAACAAATGGCTTGAAGAGGAGCATGTACAGGTTGACAACAACAGCAACACACGCTCATGCACATACACACACATACATTATTAACATGTGTTGTTCCCCCAGGCTGAACATGTGGCTAATCCAGCTGTCACTTCAGGAGTAAAGTAGGGAATTCCTCATGTAACCAATCCCTGTCTGACCCGGTGCACTAGAGAGTTACATGTTTGCCTTCAGGGATGAAGTGTGTGTGAATTTTGTTGTGCTGTCGTTTGTGTGTGATGCGCCTTGTGTGTGCTGACATGTGTCTGTGTGTGTGTGGCTGTGTGTGTTGTGTGTGGTGTTGTGTGTGTGTGTGTGTGTTGTGTGTTGTGGTAGTGAATGTATGCGGACATTGTGGTGAGTATTGTGTGTGGGCCCAGTGGCTTTCCTGAAATCAATCAGCAGTCTGGCTTCACTTCTGTCTGTCTCCTCGTCTCCTGCATGGTAAAGACGCTCTGTCTGTTCCTTCCCATACGTGCTGGAAACCACCAGACTCTCTGCTGCTTGGCTGCATGAATGAGCGTCAGTTCATTTAGAAACTCTTCATTACTTCTATATCCAACTGAAGTCAGTAAATCAGCTACACACAGTAATTCAAAATACATTTTGGCAACCTCTGCCATCACTGGAGTTCATTATATTGACAGTGTGTGTTTCTCAATGATGCTGAGTTGTAAATCTGGAAGAATTTCTCTGGATACACCCAAACTTTAAACTGGTGAAATGCGTCTTTAACATGTGTCTGTTAAATTTAAATGTTAAGGATGTAAAAATTCAAATGACGTGTTGGCAGTTCTCAGCATAGACAAAAACGTGGTAGCTGTGTGCATTAAAAGGGCATCTACACTGTTTAGTAGAACATTCAGGCAGAATAAATGGGATCATTATGGCTCATCAGAATATATTGGTGGGGGTGTGTGCTGTTCTACAAGATGGCCCTGTTCAACTTCTCCACCCTTTCTGTGTACCACTTCTTCCACTGAATGTGAAGTCACGTCAGCTGGATGGCTGGAATACTACTGAGTCTCTCGCCAGCCAGTAACTGCTGCGAAATTCTTGTGAAAATCAGAGCAGGTGAAAACATCAATTATTTGGTAGAGAAACGCTGATGTTTTTCTTTGGAAATGTGAAATCATGCACGATGGCTATTTTGCAATTACAAAATTATGCATGTCAGTTATTTAAACTCACTTTCATCGCCCCACTCTGTGAGACAACTTGTAAGTTTATGTCAGTGGTTTGCAGTTTATTTACAGGTTACACTGGCGTTACATCACCAGGCACTGAAGGATGACTTTCTGACTCAAACACTGCGCTGAAACAAAAAGTTCCCAAATTACTTCACAGAAAAAAGAAAAAAAAAAAAAAAAAACTCTTTATCTCCTCAGCCTGTGGCCACAAGTCTCCAGCTATCACACATCTATGTTGGCGTGCTTGAAGATGGGGGAGATATGCAAGTTTTGTCTTGCCTGAAATAAGATGACATACAAGCTCAAAATATTCACTAGCTACCAGTGGAGATGAAATCAATGTATTCTTTCCAGAATAAAATAAATAAAGTGAGATGGATGATGGAGATAGGCTTTAAATGGAAGGAGGATTCATCTGAGGCCAAAGAAAGAAGTAAAAGAAATGACATGTGAAAGGAAAGTAAAAAAAAAAAGTAATATTCTGTTATTGTGGCACACAACTATAACATACAGTGAAAGATAAGTCACTTGAGGGTACAGCTCATATGCTGAATTTGAATGTATCTATTTGCACAGGTAAATATGGCAAATATTGATGTGCAGGAAGAGGAAAAAAACCCTGATGTGGTTATTCATTCCCCACACCTACATATACACATGTACATGTAAAAGAAAAAGAAGTTACACTGTTAAAAAAAACAAAAACTGAAATCTCCTTTTAACTCGATTAGAATAGTAGTTCCATGTTAAATTCATCTTGCATAAGTCTGATATTGTTGCATATATTTAAAAAAAGTTTTTTCTCAAGCGAACTCTGTGAAACCCTCTGAGTCGAATGACAAAAAGCGATTATCTTAACTATGTCTAATGTTTCTTCCCACCACTGATCTGAAGACGCTGTCTGTGCTCCTTCATTTTCACTTTATTCCCCCTAAGGCTGTCACATTCTCAGCGAGATCACAGAAATATGAAATATAACTCTTTAGCAGAGGAGCTTCATGTATCATGCAAACCATGCCTGAGGGAGGTTGGCTCCGCGGAAAAAAAAAAAGTCTATGAGCTTTCACAAAGTCGGACATCTCAAAGTATCTCATAAGATCAGAGTTTGTTTAATTGAGATTGGAGATCAATCGGTCAAAAGCCTGCTTGGTTTTCTCTTCACCGTAGCCACGTAGTCAGAAAAAGCTATTCCCTTCCCTTCCTTCAATTTAACTCTGCAATCAACTTTGGGAGTTTGATAATGTCTAATGTGTAGCAATTCTTATTCTCCATACAAGAAAAAAATGAATAAATGAGAAAAGACGCAGTAATATATATTGTGTTTGGTGGTTACCAGCCTGTGGTGGGTCTTCACTAACAGATTAACTAGATCAGCTCACGCCAACAAAATACAGAAAAATAAAATCTGATGTGTATGTTTGTATAAAAATCACAAAATCAAGACTTCTGACGTGGATTCTCAGACACAGCCCCTGTAAACAGGGAATCCCCAGCTTGTAAGCTTTTTCCCAACCATATCACATCAGCGAACTAACACATTTCCAGTAATACATTGCAGATGCAGTGAGCTGTCATAATAACTGGCGTCATGTTTTGCAGCCCGCATACTGTCATAGTAACGAACACTTGTTTGTGTGATTAGCCCGGATGCCAGAAAGTGGAGGAAAAGGATCCACGAAGACATGTGTGGCACAGAGATGTTATCCATGCGGTTCAAAGAGGATAACATCAGTTATACATTATGGAGCATGTTGAGGATTTTTCATAATGCAAGTATCAGCAAATACATACACGTCTTCGAAATGATGCAACCATGAGAAAATGTAGAAACGAGTGAAAGTGTGTGTCAGTGATAATGTCTTCGTTTTGTGCATATTGGCTCACTGGTACGACAACAGCTGTGTCACATCTGTGCTTTTCTTGTCTGTCATGAAACAGCACTTTCACCATTAGACTGTGTTTTTGCTCGACTTATTTATATCCAAGCATTTTAGAATGGTAATAGATTCATCTCTTCAGCACCACAAAAGAAGAAAACAAAGTGTACACTGTTGAGTCCCATAAATACTTCAAATAACAACTCAGAGGTAAACTTAAATGTCTCTGTCAAAGGCAGACCTGCTCTGTGTTCCAAATAATTCCCTATTTACTGGTGCACTAGTGCAAAAAAAAAAAAAAAATACACCAATGCAACTTTACTTCTCACTGTAGAGTCAACTTTTGGATATCTGATATAGAGATGACTGAATATTTGGGGCTCGGCTCTGGTTTAAGCCTTGATACAGAACAAGATGGAGGATGCCATAAATCACAAGAACAGAATGGAATTAGGCCAGTTTCTCAATGATGGACATAAACAAGTGTTTGGATCCAGAGATCCAGCAGAATTTCCTGACGCTAACTTGTTGCAATAACACTTTATTGTGTTTTTTTTTTTTTTTTTGAAGAGACAAAAATCTGGAAGTAATCCATTAAATGAAGATTATTTGAAATGATGTGACCCCAGAAGTAAAGAGAGACAGCTACAAAAGCTCAAGTTGACAGGGTCTTCATAAGAAAAAGTGATTCTTCTGAGAAAATCACTCTGTAAAGAATGGAGCATGCACATACACACGACAGTGCTAACAGTTTAAACTGCTCCACAGTGAAAAAAAAAAGCAGCAGTCTAGGCATCTGTTATTAATTAAAACAAAGAGCCAGGCATTCCAGAGCAGCAGCAGCAGCAGCAGCACCCCCCACCCCAAGCGCCCACCCACCCTTATCTCTATCTTCTTTCTTATTCTCTCTCCATTTCACTCATCTCCAAAAAACCAAAGCAGCCTGTTGTCTGAGCCAAGGCTAAAGAGGAGCCATTCCAAAGACCAGCTGGACTGATATGAAAAAGAGGAGGGAAAGGGGAACATGCCAGGTGTGTGTCTGTGAGTGTATTTTTTTCTCCCAGAAGACTTTGCAAACTCTCCAGCTCTGTAACAGTTACTGTAGCCCTCAACCTTTCACTTCTCACACACACACACACACACGCACACACACACATGCTCACCACAGAAACATCGGGCAGAAGGAGTGGATTGAGGAGTTGGAGCATAAATAACAAAGCAAGGAGAGGGGGGCAGTGGAGGAAGAACAGGGGTGTGGTGGAGGGGCTTTGGGTAAAGAGTGGGAAAAAGAGCCCGAAAAACGAAGTCAGAGGAACATGGAAAATCCCTGGTTCCCATGCCAAGAATCCGGCACAGCGAAAACACACGCACACACATGCACACACTCACACACAGTGTATCTGAAAGCCTGCTGGGAGCTCAGAGGAGAAAGGGAGAAGGTAGTGATAAAAATAATCAGTGCAGCTCAGCTTCAGAAAGCCAGATTCAGGAGAACTCTCTGGGCCTTTCCTATCTCTGCACTGGTTGCAACGTAGCGACTGGTTGGAATTTCTAAAACTAAAAGTGGCATGAATGAAGATGGGGGGAGAAAAAAAAAAAAGGCAGTAAATGTCAGCTGCGTGGTGGGAGGCAGAAAAACAGAAAACAAAAAATTCACATGACACAGATTTTCAACACACTGTACTTATTTTTCCCTGCTTGGGAACACTTCGACCTCCGCTAAACCTGTCATAGTTTCAGGTCCACATTTTTTTCCCCCTCCCATAGGCATGTGTTTACAAGTAACCAACTTAAAATGTTTAACTATAAATAAAGAAGAACTTCGTGTATAAAACTAAAATAGTCATGTAAAACAAAACTGGATTTAAAGGGGTAACGCTGGCAAGTGACATCATCATGAATAATTCAGCAAATACTTAGGCTAGCCAATCGTATTGTGGTTATGATAATCACCAGTTGCCGGCAGCCACACTACCGCTTACTGTGCATGTCAACAGTTTTCCTTTCCCTGCCTGACGCTTGCAAGTGGCACAGCTGCTATCTATAGTCCAACTCTATTTTCAGACCATGCAGACAGGACGCAATGGAACTCACACAAATCTTTATTTACCGTCCAGTCCTGGGGAAAAAATGGCTAATCTACATCCAGGTCACACGCTGTATTGTCACTTGAGAGACTGTTTTAGGAAGAATAAAGACCCCGTTTTTGGAGATCATGGAAGTAGTTGAACGCCTGAGAGGTATTCATGCCGAGAATGCGACCCTTGATCCGGAGGACGGGGAGCACCAAGCGGGCTGGGTGAGAGTGAGGGTGGAGGAGAGCTGGTTCACTGTGGAGCGGGCCTTGCTGGCGAGGCACAGTGACTACTTCTGTGCTCTCTTTCAGTCTGGGATGAAAGAAAGTCGCCAGGACAGAGTCCACCTGATGGGAGGAGTGCATGCAAGGGGTTTCCTCGTTGCCCTGTCTGTCTGCAGGGGAGAGATTCCCACCATCAGCGACCCGGATGAGCTTACAGAAGCTGTTGAGTGTGCTGCTTTCCTGCAGGTTGCATGCTTGGTGCAACATCTTTGTGACATAATTGACTCAGACAATTGCCTCTTGCTTTACTATACGGCCTCCATCTTTGGGGTACATGCACTGTTTCACAATGCAGCTCTTTTCCTTTGTGATGCTTTTGATGATTTGAAGGAAGCAGCAGAGAGTACAATTCCTGAAGACCTTCTTCAATATTCTAAGTCGTTGTCTCCCACTACTTACATTGCTATAGGCACCCACTCTCCTTCCATGGAACTGCTACATGACTCCTTTAGGGTTGTTTGCTACCTTGATGAAAGAGAGGGGGAGTGGAAGCATTTAACTAACCTCCCAACCCTCTGTAGCACCTCCATGGCCGGTGTGGCAGTGCTTGACAATAGATTGTACATTGTAGGGGGAGTTTACGGTTATGGTAAGGACACGGTGGACAGCAGCTTTTGCTACAACCCGGACACAGGGGTCTGGACTGCTCTTCCTGGACCCCAGCAACCAAGATACGACTTCACCCTGCTGGGTCATGAGGGCCGGCTCTATGCCATTGGCGGGGAGGTCCAAAAACAGATCATCTCTACAGCAGAGAGTTTTGACACTGAGAAGGGAGAGTGGACATTTATACAACACGCGCCAAGACCTGTAGCGTCAGCAGCGTGCGCTGTTGCAAGACGGAGGATGTTTGTTTGCTTCTGGAGACCACCAGATACCACAGATATCTACGAATATGTGCCGGTGAAAAATGAATGGAAACTTGCCACCACAATGATCAGACCTCAAAGCTATGGCCATTGTATGGTAGCCCACAGGGACAATTTGTATGTGATGCGCAACGGGCCTTGCGACGACTTTCTGCGCTGCCTAATGGACTGCTACAATATCACGACAGGCCAGTGGACAGCCATGGCCGGACACTACATAAACAGCAAGGGGGCGCTGTTCACTGCAATGATAAGGGGGAACTCAGTGTTCACAGTCAAACACATGCTAACCCTTGAATACACCATCATTGGAGATGGATGGAAGCCCCGCAGGCAGATGAAGGGATTTCCAAAGAGTGGTTCACTGTGGACGTGTTTACTCAGGCTTCCCAAGACGGGACCAGTTATACCACAGCTGGATTCAAAAGGGAAGGAAGACGAAATGTCTTTGCCAGACACATCTGAGGGATTTGTGGAAGCTGTACCACAACTGTGAAATTACAGCAAAACTGAAAAACAATGTGATGTTTTAGTGTCGCTAAACACTAAAGTACAAGAATAATAAAAAAAATCCCTGATTCTAAATGTTTCTGGAGAATGCATCATGACACAAATGTTCTTCATTTCAATGCACTCACTTTCACATGTAGTCACACACTGCACACACACATGCACACATGCTGACACCAAACATTTGTTCTGATTAGCAACAGCTGCTACTGTAGTTTATATTAGGGGAGGCCACAGTGCATGTTTGTGTGTGTATGCGTGTGTGTGTGCAAAGTTCAAAGGCACTGATGGGATGTCCTAAACCTCCCATTCTCCACGTTTTTCCTGAAGTCACACTGGGCCAATTCAGGAGCCACCGGCCTCCCAGTCAACATAAAACTCGGCTTTCTCACACATTCTTGAACGCTCCCTTGCCCAGGTTTGTTACCCCATGAGTGATTAAATACCTGTTTCTATGGGAGAATACATTTCACATAGCCTCAGGCTTGTAACTCTGAGGGTTGTGGGAAATGTTTTTTGTCTTGTATGGTCACAGAATGCATTTTTTTTAGTACATTAAAAACCAGTGGAATTCTCTGGCATCATGTGATATCAATCCGTGGACCTTTATTTTGAATATTTAAGGTGCTTAGTGATGGTAATGGTCTTACTGTAACAAAAGACCTAAATACTGTCAGTAACAGTTAAAGCTGGAATTTGTCTTTGTGCTCCTTTTGCATAATGTTCAATATCATGATTTCCACTGAACTTTCCCATGTACTCTGCTGAGTTCAGCAGTCCTACTGGGGTCGATTATGCCATTACCATTCCCACCACAGTGACTCAAAAAGCTATGTGTGTATGTTAAGCCAGATCATTTCACATGTTAATCCGCTCTGATGGAATCGAGCTGGTAATCACTTACTGTTCTGGGGGGAGGAAGGTCAGGAAGGCTCTTCTGTGGGACGGGGACACATTTCGCTGCTTTCCCATTCAGCAGGGCATCTGACCTGTCATCTAGGTCATAAAAGCAAAGAGTCACGGATTCAATGATTAACAGAAATCCTACCTCTTACATTATATTAGCTAAACATACAGAAATGTGAGATAAATGAAAGAAATGGTTCACAATGCCAGTTTGAATTTAGTCTGTTTTTAGAACAACACTATCTCCAGATGTCCAGACATCTCCTACACATATCAGTGCTTCCTAGTATCCCTATAACACTCGCTGTGAGCACAAGACCCTTCACTGTTGTATTACAGTGACCAAATAACCCAAATCAAGGAGAAGCATTTGTATGGTAGGAACAACCCTATTACACAAAACACACACCACAGTAAAGGAAAATAATTAAATCAAGAAAATGAAAGAACTACTCTACGCTAACTCTACACTGGCTCCAGCAATGCCCAATGCTTATGTACAACAGTGGTTCCTAACATTTTTGGCTTTTGACTCCCTTAAGAAAGTTGTTTGATATTTTGGGAAAATAAAAATAAATTAAATTATCTGCCTTTCACCATACCATGCGCACATCTGTGAAGCTACAGCTAGGAGACGGTTAGCTTAGCTTACTGCAGCATAAAGACTGGACAAGGGGAAATAACTAACTTTTCTCAAACCTTGCAGGTATAATATGTTAATCATTGAGCTTTAGAGGTACTGGTAAGCAGTATCTGTTACCTTTGGACACAGTCATACTAGTTGCTTTTCTCTGTTTCAAGTCTTTCTTTCTGCAGCTTCATAATGAATGGACCTAATATTTCGTGTACAGATATGGGAGTGGCATCAATCTTTTCATTCAAGTTTCGGCAGGAAGGCAATTAAGTGTATATCCCCAAAATGTCAAACTGTTACCTCTACCTGTTCAGGGAGCGTCAACCCCCAACTTGAAATGATAAGTATATGTCTGCCAATGTTATTGCCTCCCATTGTGTTCTACTTCTGCTATCCTTGAATCTTTCACTTAGTTTCTAAACAACTTTTCTTTGAAAACAAACAAAAAAGAATGGCTTGGCCCATTGGAGCTCATGACTGTGTTGCACAGGACATTAACAAAAAATTTACTGTAGGTCAAAGTCTTGTTGTATCATCATGAGGATGGGAAACAGGCCGAGTTGATTTAGCCTACAGCAAACCGTGTCAATATTCCTACAGATTGCATGTATAATAGTAGTGACATAGCAATAGCTAAAATAACATAACAATGTTTTGTTAAATCCCCTCATTTGCATGTGGTACTGAAAGATACAGTTCAGGTTTACCATATTGTTACTTATTAAGAAACCTCAACATCTCTCATGTCTAGGCCTCCACTTTCCATCAGTCTGTGTGAAAGAAAACCTGTGGCTTTTGCTAAAGTTGCTGCTGAAAATATGTGTTAAGTCTAGTGCTCATTGAAACCACATTCTTCATCACTGTCCAAACAAAACAGGTCAGTCTCAGATGGTGCAGAGCAATGTAGAAACTGACAGGAAATGGTGGGTGAAAGGAGGGGAGTTGAGGGGGCTGCTTCTTGTTGCATCTTATTCTCATGTCTGCTAGTCACCTCAATCATGTGAAATTGAATATGAGCTGCAACAACTTAACAAATAGGCACTGGTATTTGATCACCTTGGACAAAGTGGCATAGGCCTATCATTCCACAATCAACGATCCTTTACAGAGATAATGCATTCTAAAGATCAAGCCAAATAAATCTGAAATGCAAGATTATAGGTATTATTAATTGCATTTATGTTGTAGAAATTGAACGTGTACTTAGATACTTAGTCCCAGTATCATATATTAAGATAGAATGTGTACAGAACTTTGCATAGCTACTTTAGCTGAATATTTGTATTGAATTTAGTTTGTGAACATAAAGAGTACATAATAACACAAGACCCAAATCTAAATTTAAAAATCATTTTATGAAAATGTGCTGCTTACTTAATGGTTTAATTACTTCTAATAAGAGTCTACCGCCATGCTAGTGGCTCAGGGAGGCCATAGTTACTATGGCACAGTGGTGTTTGAACTGAATGCTAACATCAGCATGCTAACATGGCCACAAGGACAATGTCAATATGGTGATGTTTAGCAGGTAGGCCTATAATGGTTGATGGTAAGTTTAGCGGGTTAGCATTTGCTAATTAGCCTTAAACAAAAAGTACAGCTGAGGCTGATGGGAATGCCATTTGTTTTGTAGGTATTTTGTCATAAACATGTAGAGAAATTTGAATGTTGACCTGCTAGTGGTACAAGATGAAGTTAAGTCTACCTGAAGTTACCACACTCAGTAGAATTCAGTGTATCTGCACTAAAGTTCATTGACTGAAAAACAAGGATTAGGATTCATCCTCTGAAGAACATGACTACCTCTACAAACTTTCATGGCAATCTGTTTCACTAATGCTGAGATATTTGAGTGTATCAAAGTGGTGAACCAATCAACTGACATTATACAGGAAAAAAGATTAAAACCATGCCACTATTGTGGCTAAAAATGTTATATTACACCGGTTTCAATAAGAAAAATAAAATCTTTTTCTGCATAGATTATATATCAGCTACCTTTCAGAAAAAAAACACCAACCATAACCAAATATCAGTACCACACTTCAGAGAGGAACTTTTTGAAACTCACACCTTTGTCGCCTTTGTCCTTGCCAGTAACAATCACTTTGTTCATGTAGATGTACTCCTCATCAGTGCCTGCAATGAGTGAACAAAATATGGTTAACACTTCACATCAGTGCGCTGTAGAAACTTGTGGGTACTTACCACAAATGCTAAAATCTTGGTAAACTTAGGGAACTAGACATTGACTCTTAAATACAACCAAACACTAGACACTTATAGTATTCTTAAAATAATCTTCCACAGTTTCTACATTTCATAATATGAATGAAAGGAAGGTCACTGGGTGAAAAATTAACCTCTCTGGCTCATGCACAGTTCTCTAAAGGACTGAGCTCCCATAGAACGGTCTCAAGCCTAGGAATCATTTTTGCTTTTATCAGACTGAACATACATTATGTTATTGCTGATTGTCAGGAATACCCTTGGTGAGACAGGCGAGGACCCAGCTGACTCCCAGAGACCTCTGTATTTTATTGTGAAAAGTTGCCCACTTTAAATATACTGTACTTTGGCTAGTGCATTGTTGCATACACTCGGGTTTGTTCATTTGTTGCCAAATCTGGGAGATTTAGGATATAATCATGTGCAATAAAAGCTCATTGGCTTGGCTTGACTTTCTTAAAGTTGTGTTGCACTGTAGTGAATAGCACTGAAATAGACCGCCGCATATGTTGTACACAAAGTCACAGCTACAGTCACAAGAATAGCATGCATATTTTGCTTTTGAAGGAATTTACTTGTAGCATCGATGGAAAAATCTGACTCCAGCTTATGGTGCCAAACAAACTTTCATCATGTTTGTCAAAGGACCAGGATTAAAGGAGAATTTCACCCAAACAAGTGGCTCTTTGTGCAGACAGATGGGCCCATTATTGACACCCACTCTTACCGTGGCGGGCATTCATCGGACATTAGTCAGAAAACTCCTTGCCTGCACAGATAGAGCACTGTATAATGTCTATCTTTGAAGTTTTTGAAAATCCTACAATGACACATGCAATTCAGCTCCTGAACATGATCCATCTGCTAAGACCAGTCTAGTCTTCCAAAGAGTTTACATTATATGCACTTAATGCCTCCATGGAATTTACAGTATATTCACAAACAGTAATTGGGATTGGTCCAAAAGCATTCAGCTTCGTTTTATAGTATTAAAAAATGACAGTACCATTTAATTAAAGTGAAAATAAGAAAATATTATAATTTAGTCAGAGTAGTGGTTTCCTGGGAAATTAAGTGCTTTACATTTTGAAAGGAGCTGAATGTCACTGGACTGCCATTAGAGGCTGAACTTGACTTCTCTTTGCACTCAAACACAAATATTTACAGGTCAGTGTGAACAATCGTATCATTTAGGAAATAAGCGGATCTGATAAAACCTAATGTCATGCGCTAACGCTGAAGTCAGCTCAGTGAGAAATGGACTGTGTTTGGTTTAATGTCGGTCTTAACATGGAGGAGTAATTACAAGCTGGCAAAGACATTGCCATAACATTGCCACATAAACAGTTCGAATGAATGTCTTTTCTCAAACAATAAACCCTGCGGTTTTGCCGTAGAAGACTCCAGCTGGTTACTGTAACCTGTTTTGGGAATTTGTTCCGGAGCTGCAGTGCACTTTTGAGGAAGGTCATTTGATTCAATTAAATATTTTAGCTGACTACGTTTATATCCTGAGAGCAAATCAAACAAATCTCTAACCTTGGGTGATACCGTAGATATCGTTAGGTGAAATCAAACAGCAGCAGAATGAAACGATGTTTTGCCTGTACAGTGAAACCAGATTTTAGGGGAACAGAGTTGAGATGCTATTTATAAACTGCTTCTCAAAGGAAGTGAGCATCCCCAGAGGATAAATGCAGCTTCGGAAAAATGATACAGCTTGGAGCCAGGAGAGGAAGTATGGAGAGACGAGTCCAGGACCTGAACATGGAAAAGCGTGACAGCTTGTGTGTGCTGGTGAGTGTGTGTGTGTGTGTTTGAGAGCGACAGAGAAAGACAGAGGGCGAGTAGCAAAACTCTTTTTTTTTTTGCCTCTTTCAGTCTAAAAGTGACAGTGAATAGAAATTGGGTCTCTAAAAGCAAAATGTCCTGGATATTGTTATCAAAGTTTTCTTAAAGCAAAAATCTTGCATCAGTGTGGATTGTATGCAACTTTTCTCTACCATTACATGAAGCTAAGGTTTCTGAGGGATCAGCAGCGTCATTCATTATAACCAATTAATCACACATCCGGGGGCTGAGGTTTGGATGAGGCTCGGTGTCAGACTGGTTCACATTGTAACTAACTGACTTCCAGGCAACATAAATCACATCGGCCCACCAGCAGTTGCACCATTTTCATGTTGCGTGTCAGAGCCAGTGAGTTTTAAAAATAAACATGTCATTAGCTGTTTGACAGGATATTTTAACAGACCATGGATCATTTTATGATGAAGCAAGAGGTACTTTGTTTGATGTTATCTGGACTGTAAGCGTAAACTAATAACCGCAATCATTCACAGAATAGAAATATCAATCTGATAATCTTGCAGGGTAGGTAAAAACGCAGGCAATAATATTTTATTCAGTCACCGCAAAGTGGTATTAAGCAACCAAAATGGGATAAAAGACCCCAAATGTATTTGTTAATAGAAGCCTACAAGAGTATAATTATTACATGGTGGTTACTGAAAGTTTAAAATAGCAAAGTAATACCAGAGTGGGTTGCTTGATAGATTCTCTTGGACCAAATTGCCGACAACGTAAACTTATTGAATTGTGGGAAACGAAAGGCACGACCACATGTTACATAAGGTGCTTTGCATAAAGAAAGACAAACTGCCAGTAAGTCTATAAAGCTTTTGAATGACTGGCAGTTAAACATTTGTGGTTAAACCTCAACCAATGTAACTGTCATGTAATCACAAATACCGCAACATTAGGAAACACAAGAAAGGAAGAATTATAGTGCGGCAAAGCTTGTGACTGCTTATGTTGTTGAAGAGCGTTGTCCTTGATACCTCTAATAATAGCAGAATACATACCTATTTTTCTTACGTTTGCAGCACACTATGTTTTACATGTATATAGCCTAATGGACTTTGTGCTTGACCTTTTCAATGTACCTGCTTCAACTTATTAAAAGTACCAGCTAAGATTTTATTACTGTAAGGAATGATAGATTGTCTTAGAGTAAAAAAAAAATATCTAGTGTTGTTTACACAGTTACACAAAAGCCTGGAATATCAGAAAGGTTCTCGCCTCAGTACAGAGATCAACAGCCTTTAATCAGTTTATTTATAGTTTCTAATTTCTGACTTTTCAATATAGTTTCACAGCTAGAAATGACAAATAATCATTAACAAAAAATGCTAAAATAAAAGGCCTTCAAAGGTGTTTTTGTTTGGTTGACTCTTGTAAACTCTCTCTTCCTCCAGTGTAATTTTCCTTATATGTTGTAATAACTTCTAAGAGTTTCCAACATTTCACTTCACCGCATTTTTGGTTTTGTCACGTGTCAAAAAATATGTAAAATCTCCCTCAAAATATCCACCAAGTTCAGTTCCTGAATAAAACTGTAGTGAGGACTGGGTCATGCACTTTTAGAATTGTATTTCCTTTTATTTCTACACTGCCATGTTATAGTTGCAATTTAAGTTAAGGTAAGTTCAAGGTTTTTTTTAAAGGCAGTGAGTCATGGTAAGCACTCCCCATAGTTTAATGACTGCTCTGGCACATATCAGTGGAGCTCAACTGATACAGTGGATGTTTTCCAGACTGTGCTTCATCTTCAGGAAACTAAGCTGGAGAGTGTAGTCTAATCCACATTTTTTATGAAAAATCTAATTTGTTGCAGTGCTCTACTGTAGCCTATATATACATAAGTCTGTAGTCAGGTCTGTAGTGCCTCCCACTCTGTTTAACAACCCACAGCTCTACTCTTGACTGGTTTTTTCCACATACCATTGGAGTCTCTGTAGGACTGGAGGAGATCGGACAACAAGCCCTTCTGGATGGTAGCATTCCCACTCAGGGTCTCCTTGTCCAGGATGAGCAGGAAGCGGTGGAGCTCCATCAGGAGCTGGTCCAGCACTGGAAGCACAGACATACAAGAGAGTCTCAGAGGTATAACGAAAAAAAAAACTTTATGTCAAATGAGTTTCTTGGTGTGGAAATATTTATTACTGTCAAAAATAATGGCTTTAGACAAGGACTTCCCATCAGCAAGACAAAGAAGAACCGTGAGAAATATAAAACCTCTGAAGTTTCCAGGCAAAAATATTCAGAATATTATACTTTAATTTATGGCTGAGAACAGGGAGTTCAACTCAAGGACATGTCTTTTACCATTGATTTCAGCTGCATGTTTGTTAGCTGTTTTATTCTTACTGTTTGGCTTTTGTGCTTTAAGCCTCACGCTATATGCCAATATTTTACATGGGAGAAACTGTTCAGAGGTTTTCAGCTGGCAACAGTCAATAACAATCCAGACTTTATGTCATTCACTTATTTCTCTGTTGCATTTGTTACTGACAGTTGTAAGTCTTTTTGAGGTTGTTCTGGGAGTTGTACGGGTTTAGTGAAAGGTCAAGTCCAGAGGTAGGAGGAGCCTGGGCCTAAGTCGGCGGGGCCACTGTGTCTGGGTGCATCCCACACACACATCCTTCAGGGGTCAGAGCTGAGCTCACATCCCTCTTCACAGTGTGCGGAGGCCTTTGTATTTCCCTTCACTCTCTCTAGGCCTCATGAATAGGCCCCTTGCTACAGTGGGCCTCAGTATGTGAGCACTTCACCAGAAGATGAGACAGAAGGGGAATAAAGAAGAAAGACTTTATTAAAGGAAAAGGTGGGGCAAACATCAGTGGTGGTGAGTAAAGTCCCCCCAGAATGTATGCCATCACCTTTCTCACATGTTTCTTTAATGTCTCTGTATTGTAATCGGCTACAGCTATGTACAGCCACTTTGCTAATGTTAAAAATAGACACAAAATTCAACACCAGGAGACAGTCATTAGTACATACAAGGTAAAATGTAATTCCCAACAAAATGTAATTTTCTTCAATCAGCTGTGTATGAATAGCAACAGTAGGCTTTACAGAGTAATCTGGCTATTTTGATTAACTTGTCTAATTTAGGCCACATTTCTAACAGCAAGGTTATTACTGTAAACTTAACCCTAAAACCAAGCCAACACTATAAAGCATTTTACTCAGAATAGTCCGACTTTTTTAAGTACTGAGCTAGAGACAGGAGGCTATTATCTTAGCTTAGCGTAAAGACTGGAAATAGGCTCTGTCCAATGGTAACACTCTGTCCACTAGCACCTCTAAAGCTCATAAATTAGTTTGTTTAATCCACACAAAAACTAAAGTGTAAAATCTATGCCACACTCATCTGTGCAATGTATTGACCTAGCGTCAGAAGGCGACTAGCTTTGCATATAGCGTAAAGACTGGGAATGTGAGGAAATCACTAGCCTGGCTTTTTCCAAATTTTCAAATCAAATCAATCAAGTCTATTGTCACATCACAAATACACCAATAAAAATTTGTGAAATTCTTGGGTGGGAGGATAAAAGCAATTAAAAATAATAATAAAGTGCAATTGTAAAATAAAGTATGAAATATATTTTAAAAAACCCATAAAGAACACATATAGATGTAGCAGCATTATGGTAAGAACTACGAGCCGTGAACAAACTGGTTGACTGGTGGGACAGTGTGACACACACCAGCACCAGTCAACCAGTTTGTGGACGGCTCGTAGTTGCACTTCCGGGTTTGTGGTAGGAAGTGTAAAAAATTCTCCGTCATTTCCGCATCAAACAAACAATATACAACATGTTAATTACCAAGCGTTAGAAGCGCTGCTAGCGTTAGCTGTATTTTTTAGCTTTGAAGAGAGCTAGGCTAGCTGTCTCCCTTTGTTTCCAGTTTTTATGCTAAGCTAATTGCCTCCTGGCACTAGCGCAATACTTACAGGCACAAGAGGATCATACTATTCTTTTTAAGTTGATAACTGGGAACCGAAACTGCACTAAAACTAACCTGTCTCCACAAATAGACACTCACATCACTTTATAGTTTTAAGCACTTCCAGTGTAGATCTCTAAATAACAAATCATTAATAGAATTAGATACAGTAGTAGGTACATATTTTGACATAACAATAACATATACTAATGCATTCCTGAAGTAACCACCTTCCTAACAAAATACAGGACACATCAATAGTCAGTCAGGACACAGCCTTCTTATCCTTGACACCCAAACTGCTGTGACTAAAAGTAAAATTGAGTTTAAAGCCAAAACAGAAACAAAAACTACCATTTAAATGTGAAAATCATCTGACTGTTCTCAAGAACTGAACTTCACTCCACATAAAATAACAATGAATTTCTAAACTATTACAAGGATAATAAATTGCTCCTCTCTGTTTGAACTCTACTAAAAAACTGCCAGCTTGTCTGTTTTAGTGGCTCCTTCCGGCTCAAACTGATCACTAACCAGGACTTGCGGTGGAATATGTTCATGCCCTCTCCTCCCCCTTCCTACACTCCCACACATCAAAAGACCTCAGCAAAGCAGGAAATTTCTGCAACATAAGGTGTCAGACCATGGTAATCTTTGCCTTTCGGAGATGACGAGAGGCTTTCCTAAAGCTAAAGCAAACTGGGTTCTTTTTAATGACTCCTACTCAAGCTGAGTCAACTTCTGCTGAGAGGCCCCATGTGAGGAGAACCTGCACCATGGAAAACATCACTGAACTGAACACATACTGTATAGACACACACACACACACACACACACATATACATTGGGGATGTAAAGTAATTAAAACCAACTTAAACAATGATAAAGACTCTCAAAAACATTTACTGACCCCTCTTTGTGTTGAAACGTTACTGTAATGATTAAAACCACACACATTTACTTTCATTACATTTCTAATAGTTGTTTAGCTGCTGATGTTTGGCCACTCAGTATGAATCTAAACATTTTTCCAGCTTCTCCTCCTTGTGTGTTTGCAGAGATTGACTCAGATGGCCTTTTGGATTGGGGGACCCTGGGAAACGAAGTCAGCTGACAGGACAGGGAGGTCTGTAGCAGGCTCTCTGTGGGCTATGGCTTGGCCAGACGCCCACTGCACATCCAGTGAGTGACCGCAGCCTCCGCAGCATAAACAATTCACTTCTGTACAACGGGCCAGAGGGAATCTGAGAGACCAGCCAAACAGAGTACTACGGTGTTTTCTAACTAACTGTTGCAATTAAAACAGTAAAAAAACAAGGGCAGGTAGGAATAAAACAAAGACTACAACTAAAAGCATAAAGTTTGTTTGAATAATACGTTTTCATATGCCTACATTATGCACCAGGGAATTACTCTTCCTCATGCCTGAGGCTGTACTTCCTGATTTGTTCCATTACCAAGAAAAACAATTAGCTTTTGTGTTTTGAGATATCTACATCTATTCTGTTTGATTTAGCGCTCTGATAAGTTGGCAGATAAGTACGATGTATTTGCAGTGCCTGACTAGGTTGACAAACAGAAATTAATTTAAAAAGGTAGACCTTTAAACTGGGGATTTGTTTCGAACCTGTCTGCCTGTCCGACCACTCACATTGGACTGTTGCCGTTATCTTTGATGTAACACGATGACACAGTGGTTGAGATTTTAGTGGAACACCACAGCAGAGATTATGCATAACAAATGTTTCCTGCAATGTCAGTTGTAACAAACACACTGAAGTCTTTTATTGGCACTTGCCTCCATCTGTTCACCTTGTCTGACCCTGGCTGTGCTCAGTGTGGAAAGGCTTCTTCTTTCAATTCGAGTGAAATTGTTTTTATTAGCTATCCAAAAATAACCAACAAAATCTATGAATGTCTTAGCATGCAAGTCTATCTCTACATCCATCTGTGCATCTGGACTACAAATGGTAGTCTCTTTTCAATCTTTCACAGCCACCAAGCACCGCTGCTAACTTCCTGTTTGCCCTTTGAGGAGCCAGATGAAGACAAAAAAAGTTTTAATGTTAACTATGCACGAACGATAATGTGTAAAAATGACTGAAACAAGTCCTACAATTGGTTAGCCAAGGAATGAAATAGACAAAAATAGGACTTTCAGTACACATCAACTTCATTTGTGAATAAGGGAGGGCTTTTCATTCAGAGAAGAGAAGGGATTGGACTTGAGTCTGTCCCACCATTCTTCTTGTTAAATTTGAACAAATCTGCTGAACAAGGGGGTCTTGTCAGGATCCTGGCAGCATTTCCTGTTCTGAGAGGCTTGAGTTTCTGCATCAACACTGACAGGCCACGTCTCAGCAGAGACCAGCGCAAGCATTTCATCTTATCAAATTAACTAGGCAGACATGGCCTCTCATTTCAATCTCACTGCTTCCAGGTTAAACGCGGTTGCTGGTTCACTTGGTGGGATCAGTCTCGAAACTATGCTGGGCGAATATCATCTGACATAAAGATAATTAGCTCTCGCACTACTCTCTCCCACAACTGCTAGAAAAATAGTGGGTGTACCACACTTCAGCCCCCAAAAGAGAAAAAATAAGACAGGAAGCAAAATAAAAGAGAAAATAAAAGACTTAAAAGCATTAAAAGGCCAGTGGGACGACACAAGCCACCATAGCAGCTTCAGTATGCCTTGTAAGAGAGACATGACAACTTTCCTTTTTTTTTGGTTTTTGACATAAAATCCAGCATTTCTTTTGTGCTCAGCTGAGTTTTGAAGTGGTGAGAAATATTTTGAATGTTCACCCATGTTGTCACCCATGTCATCTAAATAGCAGACACAACCCTAAATCTTAATTATTTCACCATCTCTTTCTATTTTACCTGCGCCTGGTGTGTACTTCTACCTCTCTTTTTCCTATATATCTGAGTTTAACTTACATGTTTCCTCTCGTCTATACATCATCATCCCTCTTATCTGCCCTACTTTGGAAAACAACTCAAATCCCAGCATATCAATTCATGCTCCAGGAAATGGCCAGTTTTTCACTGACGCAATATTTGCGCTTTTTAAAACTTTGATCAGTGTTGGGGAAAAAAAAAAGTCAAACGGATGG